GGGGGGGGGGAGGGAGCAGATGTCTCCTTTCCAAAACTACTGTGCCTGTGTGAGGGAAAGACATCTGGCCCTGATGCTCCACATCCTCTCCCCAAATGTAGAATGGGGTCCATGTGGCCATCCAGCTGGCATGAGCACCAAAAGCAGCATGAGGCTTTTGAATAGCTGGCAAAAGGGGCAAGGTAAGGGGAACCTTGCAAGGAGCTCAGCCTGACCTGAAACTCTCCCTCCACAACAAGCCCACCACAGGTCCCTGCCTGCCTGGCATGAGCCCCAGTGTTCCTGCAAGTCTGTGGTGGGAGGACTGCCCACAGAGATGGAGGAGCGTGTGTCTTCCTCCACTGCAGGCTGCGCGTCAGCAGTCTGTTCTGCTCTGAGCATGGCTGCGCTGTCAGTGAGTGTGACTGGGTTAATGGAGTATGTCAAGGGACCAACGGCAGGCCGTGGCAGTGAGCTACTGACTTGTCAGGCCCGGGGAAGTGGTATGTAACAGCTCAGCTTCTCACACAGAATGAGCCTCTCTGGCTTGGGGCTACGGTTTTTATGTTTATGCATATATATATATATACACACACACATGCCAAAGATGTATTTATTTTTTTTTTAATAATTGAAATGACTTGGCTGATGGCAACACTGAGTTCAGGAGTTTGCATTTCTGAAAACAGACATCCTGGTGAAGACATGAGGTGCAGGAGGTGAGCAGGGTCGTGACAGTAAGGCAGGGCCCTTTGAACGGAGCACACAAGCAGAGGAGGAGGGCAGCACTGCCTGCTGGCAGGGGGAGATGTCCTTCCAGCAGGAACAGCAGTGAAGGGACTGGAAGGGCCTGAGCAGAACTGTTCCTTGGACACCAGCAGTGTCTAGTACCAGCATCAAGTGGACAGTCCAAGCCCTGAAGTTGATGGTGTAACATTTCTTGAAAGGGTCTTGATGGGAGACCTTTGCTTTCTCCTGTCACAGTGTAACAGGAATGTCCTAGGATGAAGGAGTGGTTCATAAGGTTTGGTGGGAAAGGCTCATTCCCATCTTCTTTCTAAGTCTTGTTTTCTCTCCTTCTGTCAGAGTTGGAGAGGTGTGAGGAAACCTTTCCACCCTTCACTGAATCACGACGTAAGCAACACTTTCTTGCTTTGGGAAATGGTTCCCTTCTGATTTGGAGTGTCATTTTCCTTTGCCAGTTTCAAGGCCACTCTGAAAAGCCCCTTAGCATCCAACAGAGGGAAGTGTTGAAATAACCAGCCAATGCTTGGTTCATACCAGCCTGCTGAAGGGTGTACTAGGGAGCCCTAGCTGTGAATCTCTGAGACCCAATGGATGCAGAGCTCTGCAAGGTGTCACCCTATGGTGGTGGGAACCCTGCTGGAGCCCTTCACTTCTTAAAATGGGCCTTTAAGAAAGATTGGGAGAGACTTTTTAGCAGGGCCTGTAGTGACAGGATGAGGGATAATGGTTTTAAATAGATCTTTTACAGTGAGGGTGGTAAAATACAGGCACAGGTTGCCCATAGTGGTGGTGGATGTGCCACCCCTGGAGACATTCAAGGCCAGGCTGGATGTGGTTCTGGGCAATCTGATGTGGAAGATGTCCCTGCTCATTGCAAGGGGGTTGGTCTAGATGACCTTTGAAGGTCCCTTCCAACCCATACTATTCTATGATTCTGTTCTATCATTTTTCCTGCATGTATATCCCTGGTTATCCCTACAACTGGGGAGCAGTAACATACAGTAACTCCTTGGTACCCTCTTTGGTACTCTTGCTTGTCTTTCTTCCTTGTGAAGTGTCTTCACTTGCGTAGTTAGAAGAAGGTATTTGGTTTGCCTCACTCTTCTTCTGTCCCACAGGCTGCATGCGAAGGAGAAAGCATGATAAAGGCAGCATCTTCCCAGGATCCATGGGCTCTTTGAGAGATGATCAGAGGGAGGCCAGATGATCTGCACAACACACACACCACTGTTTCTCATCCGCAAAGGCAGCATCGGAGAGTTCTCCCCAGCCCCGTGCCGCCCGGCTTGCCCGATCGGTTCCGGATGTTTCGCAGCTGTGAGTGGGAAATCCTGGAGCGATCCCTCAGTATCCTGCAGGCCAGCGACTTCTACTGGGGCCCCTTGTCTGTGGGGGAAGCTCACGCCAAGCTCCAGCGGGAGCCCGTTGGCACCTACTTGGTGCGGGACAGCTCACAGGGGAACTGCTTGTTCAGCCTGAGCGTGCGGATGCCGACAGGGCCTGTCAGCCTCCGAATCTCTTTCCAGGAGGGCTATTTCCGTCTGAAGAACTGGTTTTCAGACTGCGTGGTGCGGCTGCTGGAGCTGGTGGTGGCAGGGACCCGGAACAACCCCTTGCACTTTGATGAGATGGGGGGAACCCCCCTGGTCTTCTCTGAGCCGCTGTGCCGGAGCCGCCGTGCAGTGCCTACACTGCGAGAACTGTGCTGTCGGAGCCTGCCTGCTGGGGCTGCGACAGGGGATGGAGCAGGGCTGGGGGGCTCCTTGGGGATGTGCCTGAGGGAGGAGGTGGTCTCGCCGCCAGGCAGAAGGGGGAGGTCAGACAGGAGCATTGTCCCCAGCCACCCTCTGCCCTGGGCTGGAAGATGATGCCGTGCACATGGGAGACAAAGGGAGATGCCTGTTAGGTGGCTGTGCTGGTGAGACACACACCACACTGATGGGGCTGGACTGGCTGCTGGGAGAAGAAGGGGAGAGCAGGGGGAGCAGGGCTCGAACCCGCTGGGTGTGGCAGCGTGTGTGTGGCCTTCCCCAGAGATGCCTGGGGTAAAGCCAAACCCAAAGAGCAGAGATTTCCCCCTTCCGCCCCCTCCAAGTTGTGCTCTTTGCTCCATTTATAACTTATAAGCTTGAGAAGGTGAGTTGCTTGTCCTCCCAGGCCAGGCCTGCATTTTCTTCTGTCCCAAATGCCTCAGCTCATTTCTGCTACAAATCTGTCCTCATGAAGTGGTGTGGCTGAGTCCAGTGCCACAGCAGTGCAGCTCAGGCGTTGGCAGACTCATGTGGCCGTGGAGGAGCAAGACCACGTTTTGCTCTTTGCAACATGAATGTGGTGCCTGCCACTTCAGAGGCCAATGTTTGCACGAGAGGGAAACCATTGCAGCCATATACAGTACGTGCAGCTTCGCTGGCTTTTGCATTGCTTTATTTGAACAGATTTTTGGGTGTGCAGATGAGTTGCCTTATACTAAGGGCATGGTATTTCTGCAGAGGTAATCCTGGTTTGAAGAGTCGGGTCTGCCCTGGGAGGATGTGAAGAGATGGGATCCAGCACCCTTTCTTATGCTCATGTGGCAGTATGCTGCTGCCACCTAGAGAGCATAAAAAGACGTTTTGGGTTTGCCTCCAAAAAGGCAAAAGAATTTTTTATATGAGACTTTAAAAAATTTTAATAAACATGTTTTTATACTTATTTTTAAAAGTCAGTGAATACATGGTGATATTTTCATTCCCTTGCAGTGTTGGAAAGTCAGTTTAGTGCTAAGACTTGGGAACCAAACTGAAACCAAACAAGTGAATTTCTTATAAAGACCAACAGCAGAACACAAATGCATGGTCCTAGTTGGGAACAATGAGCTTAATTCTAGACAGAAGATACTTCCTAAAACTACAGGGGTGAGATTTTCAGAAGTATTTTTAATACCTTAAAACTTGTACAGTGTTTGAAAGAAGCATGAGTAATTCAAGATCCTAGAACAGGGCACAGCATCAGAGAACTCAAGCTGGTGAGCATGAGCACAAATGAGAGGGTCGGCTTAAACAGGGTTATGGTTTGTTTCAGGGGTGCAGGCAAGTGTGATCTCATTGAAATAAGTGACTAAAACCAGCTATGTGAAAGGAGAAATTCAGATACTGTAAAATCTGAGCCAAACCGTTCAGCACACCCCCAAGCATCCGTAGCCTGGCAGGCAGCCTGCTGAGCTCACACTTTCCCCTTCAGACCTGTACGGGGGGGGAAAAAGCCAAATGTGAGGAGAGATTATTCTGAATTTGCTCGTTTAACTTCAGGTACATTGTCTGAGGAACCAAGCATGCAGTCAGCAGAGAGGCAGAGACAGAGACGGGTGTGATTCATCACAGGAGCCTCAGACATTGAATTATTCTCTGGAGGGCTGTGTCGCTCTACTGACAGCAAGGTGCCTGCCCTCCTACCTCGGGGCACTGGCTTATGAACCAAGGTAGTTAAATAAGTGCCAAAGAAGTGGCCATCTACTTGCCACTCTCTCCTCTTGGTCTCAGGGAGACTAGGGGCAGCTCAGTGGCTCTATGGCTGCTGTGGCTTTCGGGCCAGTGCAAAAGCACGAGCTGGGATCGTTCACTACCACAGGGTCCACATGCAGCGTGACGGCTGACGCGTGGCTATGGTGGTGTTTGCTGCCAGAGCTGTAGTCTGGTGCAAGGTCAGCGCAAAAAGCTAAGCAGGTAATCGCATCTGTCATCGTTGCTGGGTTCATTAGAGGTGGTGATGCCTCTCAAGGTGCCTGAGTCAGGCTGTGATGCCCTGGGTGAGGGTTGGGTGCCCTGTGTTACCCCAGGCAGTGTCACATCGGGTTGAGGTTCAACCCACCCTAAGAGAATAGTCCTGTGCATCCCCTGCTCAAACACGCACCCCGTCACTCAGGGTTATTGGTATCTCCAGCTCCTGAAGCAGCCCTGTCCAGGTGCTGTAACCCATGGGAGGACCAGGGGGTCATGGCAGACTGCAAAGCTGAATCTTTCTGCAGGCTGCCTGGCAGCAAGTCCAGCAGCATCCTGGGCTGCATTAACAGTAGCACTGCCAGCAGATGAGGGGAGTGATTAACTCCCAGTACTCTTCGTTCCTTAGACCCCAGTCAGAATATTACATCCAGATTTGGGCTCCCTGGTGCAACAAAGATGTAATAAGTTGGAGTGAAGCTGGGAGGGAGGGTGACCTCAAGAAGCTCAGGGGGCTGGAAGCATTTGCCCTGCAAAGAGAGGCTGAGAGAGTTGGGATTGTTCAGCCCATAGAGGACATGGCTTCAGAGGGACCTAGCAGCAGCTTGCCTGCACCTACAAGGAGGTCATCAAGGAGCCAGGCTCACCACGGTGATGCGGTGGGAGAAAAAGCCACAACAGACATAAGGGAAGCAAATCTAGGCTGGCTACAAGGAAACCCTTTTTCTGTGAAGGGTCCAGATGGGAAGTGCGTCACCTGGAGATGTTGTGAGGTCTTCAGACTTGGAAAATTTCAAGGCTCAATGGGTCAAGCCTGGAGCAACCTGGTGTGAACCCCAGATTGGACTGGAGGGGACTCTCTGGGGTACCTTCCCCTGAACAGCTCTGCAGTCCTGTGTTTCCATAGGGCAGGGAGGTGGGATGGGTGATGGAGGAGGTGATGGGGCAGAGCGATGGTGGTGCTGCCACGGCAGGGGCTGTGGCTGCAAAACCCCCTGTGGAGGGAAGGGTGGACGCTGCATGGGGACTGTGCTGCTGGTGTGCTAGACCAGGATGGTGGCATGGCGTGCTGGTGGAGGGAAACCTCCTGTGCTGCTGGGGGCATTCCCAGGCCACACGTGTGCTCTGGTTGCTGCTGCTGCCATGGATTTGCCCTGGTCTCAGACACCACCCCATTGCTCACCCTCAGTGCTCTGTGCAGAGTTGCAGCAGAGCACAAGTCTCCTATAGCTCCTACGCCTGCCCTGCCATTCCCTGCGGGCATCTCAGGTGGCTCTGGGCACCTGTGTTTTGGGACTGTTCCCTGGCTTCTAGGTGAAGGCCCTGCCTCGGTGCGGTAAGCAACACAGCTGCCCTCCCTCTCTGTCTGCTGCGGGAGGAATGGGCCTGGGTCTGCCATCCCAAGCACCCTGCCTGTCCCCTTGATCCTTTCTTCCTTGGGGGTGTTGATGCCGAGCTGCCTTGTCTGCCTTCCCACCTTTCTTTCAGAAACTGGGGAGGGGAGAAGGAGCAGGCTGATTTCTTCTGTGTTTTTAACTGAGCACAGGAATGCTTCTGGTTTATGGCCATGGTTGTACCTCACTGAGGGAAGAGCTTTCTGACCAGATTGCTCTGACCTGGCTGTGAACTGTTCTTATTTGGCTGAAAATGAGCATCTTGGGTAGTATGACTGGGGGCTGCAGAAGAGCCCCATTTGCAGCCAATATTGTGCTTTAGGAAAATCTCTCCAAGGGAGGAGGAAATGGTTTGGATTTTAATGAAGTCTACTTTATTTTCTTTTTTTCTTTTTTTAATTGCACAGCAAGTGCTCATCTTCATCTTACAAGTCAGTCAATTCCATGCAGGGCTGCAGCGAATTGATTTGAGATCTGTGGATGAAAAGCAGTGAATGACTGCCAAGCATTGTTAAATTATGGCAGTTTAAAGCACGTTATGGGTGAGTATCCTCATTATTCCCGAGGAGAGGTCACTTTGCAGATCAGGATTGGTGCAAGAAAGGAAACCAATCTGGGAAGAACAGGCACATGAAAAGTGCATGGGCTGTGGCAGGCGTTACAGGGTCCTCCTTCGTTTTCTGCTCGGATGTTGGAAGAGAAGCCTTTTTCTTTCAGCTCTGGAGAAGATGTACAAAGCAAAACCGTAAGAATTTACATCCTGGGGGTAACTGAGTGGGAGATGTTCACTTTAATCACCCTGCCTCTAAACCAGTCCCTCAGCCTTGTAGGAGCAGCTCCTGGTGGCCCGTATCCAAATGTTTCTTTTGGTGGCTCCTAAAGGGACTTACAAAGAAATTACAAACTTCCTCGCAAGCTCTTGAGCGTCATTTGGGGAATAGAAGAAAATTGTTTGCATTTTTATATGTTATGTTATACATTTCTCCAGCTGACTCATTTCAGTTTGTTGAGGAAACTTATACAGCCTTGCAGATGTTTTTTTTCAACCGTTCTTCCTAACAGCAGAAGTTGAAAAGTTTAGTCCTTGAGAGAGGGGCTTCCTCTACCAGGCTGCAAAGGGCCTGGATTTCAGTCCCAACACGCTGCAGGCATCCAGCTGCAAACTGCTCTTCATCTGCTCCAAACTAGCTGTGTGTTAGCAGTGCTCTGGGGCCCCAGGGGTTAATTTCCCAAAATCCTTCACTGAAACTTGCTAATAACTTCCATATGTACCCGTGTGTGTGTGCAGGAGGGGCCCCACAGCCAGCAGCTCTTGTTATAGTACTTGATTACCTCTGACATCAGGGTCTGTATGCCATTAGGGATCTGCCTCGATGGTTCAGGATTCACTTTAAAAGCACGAGTTTGTGCAAAAGCATTTCCCGAAATGTATTAATATTTGGGCATCTTCTGTGTTTGGAAATGAGCTTCTCCTGGATAGTCAAGCTTCAAAATAAAACCTTCTGTGTACACACAGCTGGGTCCCGGTTTTGGACCCTTACCCTGACGGCCCTCCAGAAACGTGTGGTTGCATAATTAGTCTTTAAACATGCTAAACACCTTAATTTACAAGGATACCTTGGTTAGGGGAGTATGATGGCTTTGTCTCGCTGAGCTCATTTTGCACTGACTCCTTAGATGTTTGGCATCAGTAACTGCATACACTGGAGCTTTCTGCCTGCCCTGCGGTGAGCGCAGGGCTACTGAGGGCAGCGTTCAAAGAGAAAGCGGGTGTCAAAG